TGGGGGGGAACTGGCTGGCGGGGATTGGGGCTGTCTTGGATGCATGCAGATCCTGGGGTGCTGCCCGTCCCACACACAGTCCTGGCGGGGCACACAGGCAGCCCCGGCCCCGGGGATTCCATCCCGCCTTCCCCCACCTCTCTTCTGTGTAGCTACGTACTGATACTCATAATAATAAAACTTACTTCATTAGAAAATACCAGACATTTATATGTCCGGCATTTCCTCAATTTGTTTCCCAGGCAGAAAGCTGAAATAACGGACTGTCCAGTTCAAAACCGGACACCTGACCACCATGGACAGGAGCAGCCAGGAGCTGGGAGGCCGGAACGCCGAGAACTCTTCTGTGTAGCTACGTACTGATACTCATAATAATAAAACTTACTTCATTAGAAAATACCAGACATTTATATGTCCGGCATTTCCTCAATTTGTTTCCCAGGCAGAAAGCTGAAATAACGGACTGTCCAGTTCAAAACCGGACACCTGACCACCATGGACAGGAGCAGCCAGGAGCTGGGAGGCCGGAACGCCGAGAAACAAAGCCTCCCTTTTCCGCTGTGGAAAAACTGCTGCGTTCTTTTGATTTACTTTCGAAAGAACACGGCAGCAGTCTAGACACAGGGGAAGTTTTTTCGAAAAAAGCTCCCCCCCCCCCCCCTTTTTTTTTTCTTCAACAGAATTTTTTCCCTGGTGTTTTTTTGGAGGGGTGGGAGGTGGGGAGGAGTGTTCGGTATTTTTGGTTCAACCATCTGGCAACCCTACTTACAGAAGAGGAGATGAGTCCCCCGAATCACACCTGGCCCCACTAGGATATTCGGCACAGCTGCCTGTTGATCTGGTTGCTGTGGATGGAGGCCAGGCAGCCACGGTACCTCTGTGTGCACGTGTTCTGTGGGGAGAGGGAGTGTGGGGAGCACCCATTGAATGGGCCTCAGCCGCTGCCCCATGTGCCAGTTCCCATCCCCAGCCCCACATGCCAGCCCCTGTACCCCATTCTCCAGCCCCACATGTCAGCCCTCCAGCCCCAGCCGCCAGCCCCTGTCCCCCATTCTGCAGCCCCACATTTCAGCCCTCCATCCCCGGCCTCTAGCCCCATGAGCCAGCCCCTGATTCCGGTTCTGCAGCTCCACTCTCCAGCCCCACACATAGGGTTGCCAGATGGTTTCAACAAAAATACTGGACACACTTGACATGACATCACAATCGACATGACATCTTAGTTAGAAGATTCTAGACATTTCTATTTTCTCAATTTGTTTCCCGAACAGAAAGCTCAAATACTGGACTGTCCAGTTCAAAACCAAACACCTGGCAACCCTACCCACATGCCTGCGTCCACTCCCAGCCTCCAGCCCCACGTGCCAGCCCCCAACCTTACACACTATAAGCCA